AAAAACACAGATATAATTCTGAATGACCAACTTGAGACAAACAGTTCTCCCCTCCTCAACCTATTTCATTAGAAACTATAAATTTGTAAACCCAAGCCAAAAATAGATCACTTGAGAAAGGCTATCAGCCGAAACAGCTGTAGTGATAATAGTTAAAATAAATTTTGTGGAAGTTTGAAAACAAAGTTTTCAGTGTTTTATTGTTGCATTATAAAGCATTTTTATGAAGAACATTTGTTCGGAACACACTGTAACTGTAATCGAACGAAGGTGATATTTTGGCATAAATTGGTAACACTTATTTGTTTGTTTGTTTGTTAATTTAACGGGATGAACCCTTTTTCCTTACAAAAATTACAATATAGACATATAATTAACATATAAACTGTAGTCATATATTACAATTTTAAAAAGTATTAATAACATTAATGTCTCAATTTCTTTAAACTGTTCTTGAACGAGGACACGGATAATTAATTAAACAATTCAACACTATCTTGCAAATTATTGGCAGTTCTCAACATCCTTGTGATTGACTCACTTTTACCATAATTAGTGTGATGAAACTTTAGTCTAAACAGGTCAGGAGAGCGTGTTCTTCTAGAATTTACATTAAAAACAATTAATTCCAGCAGTTCCGGACAATCAACATAACCATTAAGAATTTTATGCAAAAAACGCAATTCACACTCAGATTCTCTATTTTCTAAAGTTTTCATATTAAGTTGACAAAGAATATAGTTATAATCACAGTTAGTTCTATTAAAACCCATTTTATACCTGCAAATTCTTAGGAATTTATTTTGAACTCGTTCCAACTGATCAATATACATATTATAATATGGATACCAAATAATATTACAATATTCCAAAATGGACCGAACTAGAGAACAATACAAAATTTTGAAAGTAAATATTGAAAATTCTCGGGAGTTCCTTTGAACAAAGCCGAGCATTCTATAAGCCCGCGATGTAATATTATTAATATGCCTATCAAACGTTAGTCTTTGGTCAAATGTAATTCCAAGGTCTCTAATTTGATTTACTTCTGTAATCGATACTCCCTTAAGTATGTATGTTCTATATAACTGATGTTTAGTATTTCTGGAAAACGTAATTTTATAGCACTTTTTTATATTTAAATATAAGGCATTAATGTCACACCAACGAGATAAATTATTTAAGTCAGACTGAAGAGCATCCATATCAGAGGTATTTTTAATTGCTTTAAAGATCTTTATGTCATCAGCAAACAATAGAAATTCACTATTATTAATTACTGATGATATATCATTCACAAACAGATTAAATAGAAGTGGGCCTAAGTGAGAACCTTGAGGTACACCCGAAGTAACATTAATCGCTTCAGAAACAAAATTACCATATTTTACTATTTGTGAACGATCTGTTAAATAACTCGTGATCCAATCCAATAAATTATCTCCAATTCCGTATCCACGAAGTTTAGCAATTAATATTTCGTGATTTACCCTGTCAAATGCTTTGGCAAAATCAGCATATATGGAGTCAACTTGGTTTCCCGATTCCATAGAATCAACAATGAAGTTTGAATACAAAATAAGATTTGTACAAGTAGATTTCTTTTGATAGAAACCATGTTGTTGACCGAGAATTAAATTTTTACAATCGTAGGTTAACATATGGTTAACAAAAAAATCAAGCAACTTTGGTAGTTCAGACTGCAAACAAACAGCCCTGTAATTTTCAACATTATTTTTTTGACCAGATTTAAAAATGGGTTTTAAAAAACTCACTTTCCAAAAATCAGGAAATGTAGAAGAAGTTAAGGACTTATTGAATAATAACTGAATAGGTTTAGCAAGAGTGAATACACATTTTTTAATAAAATACATTGGTATACCATCTGGACCCGCTGTCAGTTTCCACGGATTATTCTGTATCTTATCAATAATATCCTTAACATTAATTAAATAATTATTAGCATTAACATAATTTTCGTACTTAAAATTAGGAATCTGATTTATTTTTTCTTTATTATAGACAGTCGAAAAGAACCCAGCAAATAAATTCACAATATCTGAACCATTTTCACTACTTTCATTACCATAACTCATACTCGATGGTAGAATATGAGATTTGCGTTTATTATTAATATATTTCCAGAAAGAACTAGAATTATGAAAAATGCTAGCCTCAATTTCATTCACATGACGCCTTTGTAAATACTTGCTAAGCTCTTTACATTGTTCCCTGAGATCGGAAAAAAGACAATAGTTCTCATCACCACCAGTCATTTTAAATTTTTTATGTGCTTTTTTCTTCTCATAAAGTAAATGTTTTAACTCTGATGTAAACCATTTGGGATATGTAGATGTTTTAAATTTTTTTAATTGTATAAACAATTCGATTAAATAAAATAAAATATCATAAAAATCTTTAACTACGTCATTAATGCTTTTGTTAAGAAATAATAAATTCCAGTCAACTTCTGCTAAATAATAATTTAAAGCAACATAATCACCATTTTTAAAGTCAAAATAGTATTCTTCATAATTAAGGACAGATTCTTTTATATCAACAATTACGTCAAAATTGACTGGTGTATGATGAGCAGTTATACACGGCAGAATATATAAAAAATGCGAAGAACAAGTATCATGGACGCAGTTGGGATTCCGCGATTTCTTAGGCACCCAAGAGGCTCTATTCGCTGTCCAAGTGCTTATACAAAGATGCAGGGATGTTAACTGTGATGTGTATATTTGTTTTATCGACTACAAAAAGGCATTTGATACAGTAAAGCATGATAAACTTATAAACATCTTGAAATAAGTGGCGTTAGATGATAGGGACTTGAGAATCATCTATAATTTATATTACAACCAAACAGCCAATATTAAAGTGGATGACCAATTGACAGAGGCAGTCTCCATAGATAGAGGAGTGAGGCAAAGATGCATTTTGTCCCCGGTGTTATTTAATATATACTCTGAATATATCTTCGAGCAAGCGCTGGGAGAAATACAAAAAGGCGTATTAGTCACAGGAATGCGTCTAAACAATATCAGATATGCTGACCATGCAGTAGTTTTTGCAGATAGTCTGGACGGTTTGCAAAGAATAGTGTCGCGTATATCATATATAAGTAGAGAACACGGACTTGATATGAATACGAAGAAAACAAAGTACATGGTAGTCAGTAAGCGCGAAATATTAAATACACAGCTTTTGGTTAACCAACATCTAATTGACATGACAGAGTGGACAGCTACACATACCTTGGTACCAGCATTAACAGCCAATGTGATCACTCCAGTAAAAAAAACAAAGCATAGGAAAAGCGAGCTCAGCGTTCATAATGATGATGTCTCTTTTCAGAAGTCACGATTTACCACTTGCTACGCCAAAATCTCTCTCATTAGATGCTATGTATTTTGTACGTTGTTATACGTAGTAGAGGTCTGGACACTTTTTGAAGCTTTTTTAAGAAAGCTCGAGGCATTCGAGATGTGGTGTTACAGACGTATTTTGAGAATTTCATGAGTGGATCATGTGACTAATGTTGAGGTCCTACGTAGAATAGGCAAGAAATACGAGATTATTAACACCATCAAAGAGCACAAACTAGAATATCTTGGCCATGTTATGAGGAATGAACAGAGATACGGCTTGTTGCAACTCATTCTTCAGGGCAAGGTATTTGGAAAGAGAGGACCAGGGAGAAAAAGAATATCTTGGCTTCAAAATTAGTGTGTTTTATTTCAAAAACTTGAGTACTTGGGACATGTGATGAGAGGGCAAAAATACGCATTATTACAACTTATTATGCAGGGCAAAATCCGAGGAAAGCGAAATGTGGGAAGACGAAGAATATCCTGGCTTAAGAACTTAAGGAGTGGTTTGAATGCAGTAGTGCAGAACTTTTTAGAGCGGCAGTCAACAGAGTCCGCATAGCCATGATGATTTCCAACCTTCGATAGAAGATGGAACTTAAAGAAGAAGAATTTCAAAAATGTCACGTAAGAATTTAAATAATCGTTGTAAAGAGATGGTAGCTTATTTAATTTATTATTTTGAACAAGAACGTGATAATAACGGCCCCATTATATCCTTGACTGCTGTTAGAGAAGTATGTTAATGTATGTTTTACATATTATTGTAGATGCATAAAATATACATTCTTGTTTTAGTGTGCAGCTGCAGCTTTAAATTTACATATTTCAACTGTGACTTTAATTTCTCAGGCCGTAAAAACTAATACACTTCTATCATTGCCCAAAAAACGTACCAAGCCTAAGAAAGTTACCAATTACCGATATTTAAATAAATCTGAAGAAAAAAGCATTTGAAAATTTGGTTGTAACAAAACATTTCAAAGTAAATAAGTATGAAAAAGTGTTGTTTTTATTTAAGTATTCCATTTTACATCTTTATACGACGCATACAAGCGGCTCAAATTGATTTAAACAAGATTATTTTTGAACTCTTGTTTTGTTTCTATTTATTTACATTAAATATTAATTTGTTTTGTTGTATAATCCACTTTTGCATGTGACTACTCGATGATGTGACCTATTTGATTTAAAATGGATTCAGGATTTTTTTTATACTTTGGCAACTATGTCAACTTCGATCTGTCAATGATAATGACGTACAACGGTAAGTAAATTAGATGGACTGTACTGTAATATAGAATATAATCGCTTTTAAAAAGTACATTTTTTTATAATATAAATAGTGCAATTTTTAATTTATATAAAACAATAACGAGTAAATATTTGTCCTTTCGAGATTAGTTACAAACATCTTGCAGATTAATTGCAAGTAATCTGCAAAAAAACAAATATTTACTCGTAAATTAAAAATTACAGAATTCATAAAATAATATATAATCAAATTTTTTTTTTCTAAAGCTTTCTCTCTTTAGATTTGAAACAATGAACAAAAACATGACAACACTGCCAAAACCCAAATATTTTCCATGTTTGACATTTGCGGCTATATTCAGTTTGACGTTTGTACCACCGAAGCAGAGCCTTTTATTAGTGGTCTGTGAAGCAAAGGGAATATAAAAATATAAATTTTTATCTGTGAGCTATGGAATTTAAAATTGAAATTAAGGACGAGTTTATTGAAAATGATTACAGCTTAGAGAACGAAAAAGTAACTCTACTCTCATCTTTTAAGGAACAAACAGATCCAGACTGTCAGTTTTCTACATCAACAGATTTTGCAGACTTAAATAATGAACTAGAAGAAAATAAATCAGGTAAGACAAATAAAATACAACTCAGCGTAAATTAATTTAGGGATATTTCTTAACTATGGGAGTAAAAATTGAAATTGAAGAGTTTGTTGAAAGGGGCCAAAGATATAAGTACAGAAAATCAGTTACTCATCCCTAGATCTTGAAGATTTTAAGAATTTTCCAAAAGAAGATAGTTTAGGACTTTTAGGTAAGAGAAATAAGAAAATAAAGTGCTTAAGCATGAAGTATAAGCAGTGCACAATGTGATAGAATTACTGCAACTGAATCAACTACAAATTATATAAAGAATGAACTTTCCATTTTGAGTAGTGTAATTATTCTAGCTTCCATTTAATCTATAATTTCCTGCAGTTTAACATGCATGATCACATAGTTTGTGTGAGATAGTGTTCCTTTGTTTTCTAGCATGGGTGGGTTGTGATTTCACGAACTGCTACTTTGTCACTGCTACAACACTGTCACAGTCCGCTACAGCTGGAATAATATAGCAGTAACATTCAGTCACGTTTTATTCTACTGTGACTGCACCACTTCGGTCCAGTGTACACTACAGATGCTACACAAGATGTTACGCTGGTCCATAGATCGTATTTGCGACAGTGACAAGCCTCGTTGACGGAGCATCTTCAAAATGGAGCAGTCGCTCTCATATTCATATGGTGACTGTGACTATTATTTGCTAATTGTAACATAAGGAACGATGTGGTCGAGCATGGGAAAATAGCACCGTTAAAAATTCTTAACCAGTTATTTTCTAAGTCATATTAAATTATCATAAGTTAAAAAACATAAGAATAGAATAAAATAAAATCAATATATCTACTTATTTCTTAAACTTTTAAAGGGAAAATCACAATAACCAAAGATAAAAATAAAACAGTGGTACAAAAAACAAAGCAGTACAAACAATGTTGCCTAAAATAATTTTTTTTAATAAAGTACTATAGTAAGGTTTTATAATAAAATCTATAATAATATTTTATAGTAAAGATTTATAATAAAGTAAAGTATAACATATAATTATAAAGAAAGTTTTGTTTTGTTTTAACATAAAAATACATAAACTAATAATGATAAAGAACCTACTGACTACATATAATACTTTTTTATTACAAACCTGTATAATAAACAAAAATACAGAAAACAACAAGCATGTCTTTTGCTTAAAAAATAAGATAAAATAAAATATATTTTGGAATATTCAAAGGTAGCAGGGTAGCAGTTAAGATTAAACTGCTCCAAAAAATCACTGCTTTTTGTCACCGTGACAATACTGGAGCAGTTACATTTTCTCACAGCTACACAAAAATCGCAGGTTGGCCCACCACTATTTTCTAGTGTAGCAATAGTTCCAAAAAAGTGTAGAGGTGCTACACTAAGTTGTTCCTTTGCAAGGTGTAGGGCTTAACCACTATGTTCCATTGAAAAGTGTAGCAAAAAAGTGTAACACATGTCAATAAATCTACACCTGCTTCTGAGAGGGTGACTATCTACACTTGTCTTGCACATTATCATTCAACCAAATTTGATAACTGTTTAGCTGTCAGATGAGTGTTTGCTTACAAAAAAATCTTTTTCCTTTAGTTTAATTTAAATTTAAAAATCTTAAAAAGCTTTTAGTAATTTTAAAAACTAAAATACCTACAACTTTTAATTTTATTTCATCACTCATTTTTATATCATTTTTAAAAAAGATACCTATCCTAAATCCTAAAATAACCTGACTTAAATCGCAACTCAAAGGTTAACTACAATTTAACGTTCCTTTGTTGAGTGCCACAGTCATGATTTTCGTTTGACACTAGCCAGTGTAGCTTACACTCAACTACACTTGAAAGTGTTACACTAGAAAATAAAGGAACAGACCTAATGTATGATTTTTACTTGGTTCCTTTGACACTTTTGATATATTTTGTACTTTGTTTTTGTCAGGTCAATATCCTTTGACAGACTTTCACAGATAACATTTTCTACCTTCAACAAATCTCATAATTTGTACTAGATTTCAAATATCTAGAAATATATATTTCTCACATTTTTCAAATTGTTCTTCAGTGTAATTATTTTTAAGTTGACTGAAATGGGATACACAAAAACTTAAATCTGGCCTAGCATCACATACATAAGACAACCAATCAATTCCGTATAAGGTAACTTAGGATTTTATCAAATTTTTAACTTTTACCTATTGACAAATTAAGTTTAAGGTGCATTGCAATATCCGACATTTTACAATTGCTCATATTAAATCTGTGCAAGATTTTATTGATTAATTCCTTTTGTGAAATATAAACTTCCAATTTTACTTATCTGTAAAATCATGCACTTTTTTTTTCTTTAACATAGTTTTTAATGAAATAATGTAGTTCTCCACTTTTGAAAATATTATCAAATCATCAACATACACAAATAAAAATATAAAATAATACAAACTAGGACCTAGATTATTTATAAAGAAAGAGTTCCAACATTTTGGAGGCTCTTTTAAACCATACAATAATTTATGTAACTTACAAATTTTAAGTTTTTGTCATACCCTTAAGTCCTTCTGGTTGATACATATATACTGGTTCTTTCAATATTAAACAAAGGAAAGCAAACTTGCTCCTTTACAAAAATATCATATTCAACATACAATGAAAGTAATACTCTAAATTATATCCATTCTTGTGACTGGTGGTTACACATTTTCACTAATGTTACATTTTTGGATGCCTCGAGCTACTAATAGAAAATAGAAAAACAGTAAACAGGAATTTATGGAAACATTTTTTTTAACTTGGACATGTTGTCAAAATACAAAAAATAAAAAATCATCCTGGCAAAAAAATACACTAAATGGCAACTTAAACTGTAGTAGGAAAATAGTAACTTAAACTAAACAGAACAGTTCCAAAATTCCTAAAAACAAAAGGTTTTCTCATTCTTAGTGATGATCACTGTCTGTGGCTTCGTCAATATCTGGCTCGGCTAAACTATCCCCGATGGTTTGGCTTGTTTGTAAATGTTCGTAAAAATTATGATAAGCTCTAGGAATCGTGTGGTCTTGGCACATTTTTAGTAAATCTTTTTTTTTTTGCTTGACAAATAGGTAGTGCTGAATTATAGGCTTTTTTTACTGCCGTGGGACGACGTGGGTTTTTTGTTTTGAGACAGTTACCTCAATAAACTCTGCAGAAAAATCAGTCTTGTAATAAATTTTTGATGGCTGTTTTTTTAAGTAACGAAGCCAGTAAATGCTTCTACAGGGAATCGGAAAATTAAAGTTTGTGCTTGAAAATAATTTGAAATTAAAAATATCGTACAACATAATGCGTACATCAAACGGTCCTGGTGATACGCGAGCAGTTCTTGCCAATTGTGCCCAACCATCTGGAGTGTAGACTGGCACATGTTTACTCTTTTTCTCAATTTTAGAGTGAACTGAGTCACACTCCATTTCAGTGTGACCTGTTTAAAAAAAACGATGGTCGATTACCTCAAACGATCGATGATTAGTAAGAAGTTGCTTACACATACCAGCAAAGACAGTTGTTTTTTTGCTGGCCACCACATCCGTCTGACATCATACGAACTGTTATTTCAGTATGGGACATAATGAAATTGTATACAAAGGAAGCTATTTCATTGGCTCCTCGTTTCCCTTGTGTCTCGTCCCATAGATAGCAACTAACGTTTTGATTGCACAAGTTGTACATTGTCAAATTGTACACTGTCAGCTTTCTTATGTAAAAAATTTGACCTGCAAACCCTTTCGGGGTGTTGAGGACTGCTTGAAGATCAAAATTGAAGGCTAACACACTGGTATCTTCTTTCGCAACAATTTTATCTTCATTTCGAGCTTCTCTAGCAGCATTTTTCTATCTAAATGTCTTTTAAACTCCTCCTCGTTTAAAACCTTTTCTTCTTCGCTTAAGTTCTTCTGAGACAAACATTTTTTACATTGGTCCTTCTTGGGTTTAAAAAAACCCAAATTGTACTCGCAAAATATTTGTCTGTATTTTTCAAAACAAGCTGGTTTCAAACTTTGTGTAATGCAGCTTTCTTTGTACATTCTATACATCAATGACAAATTTAAAGAAGAATCTAGGTACTTTTTGCTACTAGAAGCCCTGCAATAATGGGATTCAACGGACGGGAAAGAAAGAATGTGTTTTCGTATGAAACCTTCAGCTGTATAGGATATTAGATAGTAGCTTTCCGCGTTTATCATCGTTCAAAAAACCACGTGAAGAGGAGAGCTTTAAACAACTACGCATTAAGGCATCTGTTACATTTAGTGTCGCCCTAAAAAACTCTCTACATACGTTGTGTTTCGTACCATTCACTGTTAAAAAATATTTGCAAGTAAAAGCTCTACGAGAGTTTTCAATATTTCGTGTAGTTTGTTTTTTTTTTATCTGTTCTATGTGCCTGCTTAAAAATTGTCGCTGGTGGTCAATACTTCGTAAATTACGAAACTCCGTATAAATTTGCAGTCGGCATTCTTCATTAATAAGATCAGTGCATTTGTGTTTTGCGTTGCCGAAACAAGGGGCAGGCAAAAGGGGCCGTGCAGGTTTCTCAACTCCTCTATGTCCAATGTACGATTCGCCCTTTAATCTTTTTACCTTCCGAATGTTTCTTTTCCAAAGCATCTCGTTTCGTTGCCTTTTTTTAAAACTCTCTTGTCATTCGTTTCTTTAGTATCGTTGATTTTGGTATTTTCATTGGGTGTACGACTACTGGATTTATTTTCTGGTAAATCTGATGAATTACTTGAATCTGTTTCTGCTTCACTTTCTGATGGCTCATAATTATCAGAAGAAGAACAGGAAATGTCCAGATCGTCAACAACTGATTCGTTTTCTAAAATTATTGAAATGACTTGGCGGTGCGTAGTAGAAGTGGACGGCTGTAATTAAAACTCAATAGTTTCGTTTTGCAGATCTGGGAATGCAAAAGGTCCATCACTTGACGCATCTGAAATTAAAAATAAAATATAGGTTTATAAGACACTA